GTGACCATACTGATTATGTCATTACTTAAACATTGCATAGTGAGTATAGTGATTATGAAAAATCTTGCTTTGGTGGGAGAGCTACAGCGACCACACCTTTGGGGAGGAAAAAAAATTTAAAAGGATACAAAGCATTGGTATTTCATAAACAAACAAACAAATAAATAAATAAATAGTTGACCCAAATATATTTTGTAGGATTTGTTTCTTTTATACTGGCAAGTCACTAGGCACAAAACTGAATGGGTTAGGGAGACTTTTCTGAGAAAAATCAAACCTTGTATGTATTTCCTGTATACACTACCCTCCTTGGTATAAAGAGAAATTGTTCATGGATGGAAATGGGATAATTGCATCTTCTATAGAGTTTATAATTGTATCATGTTCAAGTATGAGGAGACCTTAACAATCAATAAGTGTCACTGTGTGCGGTGACTAACAAAGAAAGGCTCAGCACCTCATGCTCAAGTCACTCCAGGCCCAGGAGTGAGGGGCGGCCACTACAGTACCCCAGACTAGGAATCCAGCTGGAGAATCAAACCTATTGCATGCATTCAGTGACATTTTAGGTAGCTGTCTTGCATGCCCCACCCGTGTTACAAAATCAGGGGAGGCCTGGGGGTCAGAAGGAGACTTTGGTGCATCTTTTTTTCCCTGTCATGCCTCCTGCAGGCCAACCTGCCCCTGCTGCAGCGTGAACTCCTCCATTGCGCAAGGCTGGCCAAACAGAACCCTGCCCAGTACCTCGCCCAGCATGAACAGCTGCTTCTGGATGCCAGCACCACCTCACCTGTTGACTCCTCAGAGCTGCTTCTCGATGTGAACGAAAACGGGAAGAGGCGAACTCCAGACAGGTGAGTGGGAGCAGGACTGTGGACTAAACATGGACTTGTTCTTATGCCAGTGCTGTGAAGGACACGTTTCTTGTCCAAACTGCTGACCTACACTTCTTGCAAAGTAGCGGGAAGCTAGAGTGGCCATCTTGGGAATATTGCCGTGGCCTGAGATGTTTCTGAGTGAGTCTCTGGCCTGTATCAGTCAGTAGGCTTTTGTGCATGTTGGTCTTTGCTACTTGTATTTTTTTTTTAAAGATTTATTTATTTATGCATACAAGAGCTGGGGTACAGGCCAGAGATGCAGGGCGGGGCGGGGGGCTCTGAGAGGATTCACCAGAGACAAGGTGGGGAATAGAACAGGCAGACTGACTGAAATACACTGCTGAGGGGAGCAGCGGGAGAGACAGGAGAGGTCTGCTTCACCTTGTGGGTTTCTCTCTGGCGGCCTGGGATCGAACTCGTGCTGCAGAGGCTGCAGATTCCTTCATAGTGCGGTGCTTAACCCCTTGTGCCACCAGGGAGGCCCGCTACTTGTATTATTAAAGGGAAAGGTGAAGGTGAATGATACTCAAATTTGCCAAGTGTCCCTGATGACCAAACAGGAGCTACTGAAAGTCTTATTTATTATATAACCCAGCCCTACCACATATTTTACCTTTCAGTATTAAGAAATTTGCTGTTCCAAGTTTCCTCAAAACATTATGGCTTTAAAAGCTGGCCTTTATGTGTTACTCCATAAACAATGCAGTAACTATTTAATTTGGGTTTTCTATGAACTGAGAGAGAAAGCTTCTGGGATGTTAGATTAGCTGAACAAGGATAAGAGATAAGTAACAGGGCTAATAGAGGGCATTTTTGCTGAAAAATGTTATTTATCAGCCAGTATTTATTCTGTCAGGCACTTTGCTCTTTTAACTGACAATTCTAAGAAATGTAAACTGGTGTCCCTTCTCCATTAAGACCTACAAAATAGTTATTGAATAAGGAATACTCATGAAACTTCCCATGCACTTTATTAAAGTTGTTTCCCCAAATACCTCATCTTTATATGTATTTTCTAACATAGGAATGTAAAGGCCTATTTGCATTTTGCAGAGTATTTGTAAGATACGGGAATCTTAAAGTGAAACCAAGTTCAAAAACTTACTTGTCATATGCTTGGTTTCCTTTTCCTACTTATCCATTTTCTCTTTCTACATTTCATCAGGCATGAGTGTAACAACCTCTGAGAGGTTAAGTGGCACAATTATGTTTCAGATTCCTGGGAGCTTACAAATCTTGGAACTGCTTAGAGACATCTATCTGTGACAGATTTAGCTACCCTTAAATGTATTAGCTGCTTTGCAAATCAGAATGCTATTAAAAGCTAGTCAGTTTACATACAGTTATTACATAATCCTCTGTTAAGCAGTTTTTATGTTTAAATCTCTGGAATTATTCTTCTTTTGAAATGGAACCTCATAAGTATTTAAAATTCCTAAGCGAAACATTAGTTTACTTGTGACCCATCCGCATTTATGTCCTACCATCAGTTCTACTTTTGGCTTTTTTGCAAATCATATTCCCTTGGTCATATTTAAACATTTAGCTTGTACAGGTAACTTCTTAGTTCAGGTATCTGAGTGGCATATTTGTATGACGTGGAAAATGAAGAAGGAGAGATGTGTCATCTGTGTGCTTCTAAGCACCTGTGTGCAGGTGCTGAGAGGTTTTCGCTCCATTTTTCTATGATAACGTGGTAGAAGCATTAGGGAGACTCTAGATGGAAAATTGGGAATAAAGTGAGGTGGGGAGGAAGAGGCTAACAGTGAAGTTTGTGTGGGTGGGGAGAGGGTAACAGTGAAAGGCCTAGATAGCTATACTAGATGTGAAGATAATTTTCTAGGCAAAATTGAACACGATCTATTCTAGAAACCCTAACTGCTCAAAGAGAATGGAAACTTACCTCTGATACATCTGGTCATTTACCTACTGGTTCTTTCCCAGTGTTTTATATTTGAAGGAACTGTGCCTTTAAACTTGTCTTGGACTATGCTGAGGTAAGCCCCCTGAGCTATGTACTAATTGATAGGGGAATTTCTAAATTCCATGGATACTTAGCATTTTTGTTTTGATGCCCAGTAGCTGTGTGTACCTGCATGCTTGCATTCAGCCCGGTAAAACTCTCTTCAAAGAGACTTCAGTCTTCTTCCTTAGGTTTCTTCACAGCCAGTTGCTGGAGTCAGAATTCACACAGTTGCTCTTTGGATAGAACATTCTTTTCCATGTGGAACCCTGAAGTGTGTATTATAATGGAAAGATGGCAAATGGATTTCCTTAGAGTTAGGAGGAAGGGTAATGAGAATATGTTGTGTAAATACACTTGTATCTTGTGGGAATTTGATCAGAGCCAAGAAAATATGGGCCTCTGCAGTATTTTTTTGCATACATTTTCTGCATCTTGTTTGCATATGCATTTTCCTCTTCTCCGATTATTTATCTGTATACCCAGATCTACTATATGAAATTTTATAGAGTATGGAGCTGTCTGACAGCAGAGCTTTTTTTGTTTTACTGAATGTTTTGTTGGTGCATATGGTCTGATACGGATGAGCAGCCACGGTGAGATTTTGGAGTCTATTAAACTGGCTCATTAAAAAGATCAATCTGTTTCTGTAATAACACTGGGAACCATCAGTCACTAAAAGAGGGAAAAACTGACACCTGAGGAGAAAACACATTTTGGTAATTTGTTCATGACATGTCACGAACAAAAGAGCTCTCTATATTTTGTTTACAACTTTGGGGGCTTAAATTTTGTGACGATTGCTGATTTAATCTAGTAAACAGTCGTCACATCTTTCGTAGATGGGTTTTTGCAAATTTAACTTAGCTCTTATCCTTAACTATGATTGTCACTTTTTTTTTTTTTCTTTTTTAAAAACATTATTGTTATCTACAGAGATATGAATACGCTGGGGAAGTCTATGGAATCTTTTTTCCCCCTCTGTGGGGAAGAGTGAAATTCATTCCCTTTTAAATTAGTTCTGAGGTGAGTCCTTGAATAACTCTACTGAATTTGTAGGTCTAGTAGAGTATCGTAGGACCCAAATTAGAAAAATACAATTTTTATTTAAAAATCTCACTATTTTTTTTAAAAGCCATACTATTATATCCTCTAAGATATTAGAGAAAGGAAATAGAAAATTCTGATGTTTTTTTTTAAAGATTATTTATTTATACAAGCACTGGGTACAGTCAGAAGCGCGGGAGGGTGAGAGAATTCACCAGAGACAGAGTGGGGAACAGAACAGGCAGACCGACAGAATACACTGCTGAGGGGAGCAAGTGGGCACGGCAGGAGAGGTCTGCGCTCCATGTGGGACCCTCACTAGAGGCTGTGGATCAAACCAGTGCTGCAGAGGCTGCGGGCAGCTTCGCAGCCCATTGCTCAACCACTGTGTCACCAGGGGAGGCCTGAAAATTCTGATTTTTACTCTTCGTAAATATATAAATTTGTTGTATATAGTAGGCCTTTATTTTGCCATCTTGTGGTGGGAAAAAACTGAAGGAATATAATACTTTTTTTAAGCCAGTTAAATGAAAGCGAACACTTACAAAGGTTGACACTAGAAGTTAAGAGCTTTCTTTTAGACTGCTTACATTTAGACAACACTACATTTCTTTGAAACTGCAGAATGGATAAAAATTATTCAGGTTTAAAAAATTTCTGTTAATTATTGTTGTTGGTTTCTTTTTCTCACAGCTTTAGTATCATAGCCTTTTTATTTCACTTTGTCTGTAATATAGTGTTCTCACCTGTTGTACTAATTTTCTCACTCAGAATCTTGCTTGCTTAAGAAATCAAGTTGAATGATCATTGTTTTCGTATGGTTACTACTATGTTTCTCTGCCCCACTTTTGCAAAAGATTGATGTTAAATATTAATACCCTTCACTGCATATGTACAGTCCGGTGCTAAATGAAGCTCTTATCAAAGGCTTTAGAGATCACATCTTGCTCATTTTTATATTCCCACTGAACTCAGGATAGTGCGGTACACATACCAACTATCTAAAACAAAACAAAGTAAAATACTCCCTGCAACCTCAACCCCCCAAATACTACTTGAACTTAAATAAATCCATAAAGTTAAACATCATATAGTCATTTTCAGTAATATATCAAATGATCTCTTTCCTATGCACCTTTGGTTTTCTTGGTTACTATTGTTTTAAAAGATGCATTTCTGAAAACACCCACAACAATAAAAATAGCCACCAATAACCTAGAACCGATACCATGATTGGTTCTCTGATCAGGAAACCAGAGGGCTCCAACTGTAATGTATAGGCACAGTTCCAGACGTCAGGAGCGTAGAAATTAAATACTTTAGGAGATACTACAAACTGGGAAAGGTAAAGGGACAATCCAGAATAGGAGTCTAACTCTTGTGCAGGTGACTAGTCCCAGAGCACATGACAGAAGCATTTACCTTTCTCCTTGAGGGAGCAGGAGGCTCAGGTGTCTCTGAACCTCGAGTTGTAACCTTGGAGATCCAGGTATCTGACTGTATGTCTGGAGTGGCAAATGTCCGCTGAGTCTTATTTACTCCTAAAGGTATTAGCATGTTGCTAGGAACTTATCACCCAGGTGCTTGTTTAGTGATGAAAAGATTGAAAGTGCTTCGTTCCATATGGTCCACCATGATGGTTCTGCCTCTCTCTCATCTTTCTGTTCTTACCCACCTAAAAATCATACTTCCTCCAGGGTGATTGTAAAACTCACAAACTACCTTGGGTTGTTGTGAAGAATTAGGTTTGATTTCTCTTTAAGGAGGCAAGGGAATTTGTACTATATTTTGTTTCAAATATATCATTCAACACTAATAGAAAGATGTTATGTTAAACTTGTTCTTAGTCTAAGTCTAAATTGTTCTTAGTAGTTCCCAATGAGACCTTTTACTGTATTATGCTTTGAAAATTTGACAATATGATTCCACCTGCCTTTGGTCCAATGTCTAATCGTTCTTTGGTACCTTAAGAAATGTTGTGTGTTAGGAAAGGAAGGGAGATGCATTTAATGTTAAGTCATTAATGGTTTTGAGATTTTCTTTAATAGATCTATTGCCTCCCGAGATTAGATGTAGATTTCCAAAAACGTACAGGTAAAAACTTTAAAAAAAAAAAAAAAATGGTTAGTTCTGCTGGCATTTTAACATCCTCTCTTGCTAAGACAATGGCAGGGTAGACAGTGGTATGGTTGGCTCAAGACATAGGGTTCCCTGGGATGGGCAGAGAGACCAGCAACAGAACCTGGCTTGGAGAATAAAGTTGTAATGTAACTTTGAGATTTCTAGTAGGGTGACTGGGTAGAAGGTGGCTGGCATAATTCATGGTACAGGAAGTTCCAGAGAAAGATGAGGTCTGTTTGAAATACCTGCAGAAACTTGAAGAAGTGAGCATGTAAGGTATGTAATTTATTTGTAGCCGGACTATGATTACAATTTTAAAGAATTTGTGGCCATTTAATATTTATTATGCTGTAACTAGTTTGCCGCCCCCCCCCAGAACAATCTTTATAGTGATTTCCCCCCACCTAAACATTTTAATCTAAAAAAAAAACATTTTAATCTAAAAAAAAATCTACCTATTTCTGTCATGTAGGAACCTATTCTATTTGTCTTGACTTTGTATTGTTTTATTCTTCTGTTTCCTTGAATGTATAGATAATAAAGGGTTTGTCATACGTACTAGTGAGCATGACTTTTAAAATGTTTTATATAAAGTTTTTTTTTTTTTCCCCAAAGGGTTTTCTTCTCACTCAGTTTACAGCCTCTGTTATTGAGGAATTGGGGAAAAAACTACTAGAAGTGGGGTAAAATAAAAAATTAGGTTGTCTCTAAGATTTTTGAAGTTAAAAAGAATACATTTTACATGTATTGTTTCCCGTTAGTCCTATTTTATGGGGCAGGAAAATGAAGCCAGAATGTTAGTCTCAAGGTTACACAGCTGAGTCCTGAATGGTCCTCTATTCTTAAAACTGTCAGACCCTGAGAGAAGTGATTAGGGTCTAAACAATGAAGGAAAATTTCTCCTGGAAGGGAGATACAATGTTCTTAGGTTGACTTAAAAAGACAAAACAGAAATATCTTTCAGAAATCAATGGGATGTGATGGACTTTTCACTAGAATTTGAGTTATTTCTAGAGCATGCTGGTATGGGACAATGAAAAACATTTGTTAGTTTTGCCTCCTGAAAGGGCAACAGATAAACCTGCAGATTTGGAATTTGCCCAGACAAATGAGGTGTAGATAGTTGTAGGTATTTCTAAGTTGGAGACAGACTAAGAGCAATTAAGTTGTTTTGTTACCTTTCTGGACATACCTCCTTTGAATAGGTTTGGCCTTATAAATAGACATGAATGATTCAAGGAAGCACCGGGGAGACCTTTCATAGCTTTATTTCTGTGGGCTGTGAATGTTTAAATGCTTTGCTGTTAAAATGCAACCACCTCTGTGAGGTAATGAGCTTTATTGTTTCAGTAGTTATGAGACCCAGGATAGGACAGCAGGGTCCTGACTGAAATGTTAGAATGGATGTAGCACCTAGCCCTTTATTGTCCTTGTTTCAGGGGCAAAAGGAACAAAACAATTTTTTCCCATCATGAATCGTTGAAGTGTTAGCACTGATCAGAATCCTGATGTGAGGGTGAAGATAAATCACATATCCAACCCCTGCATATTACAAGAACTTGCAATGGTGTGTGTTGTCCTTTTCATTAAAGCAGAGACAAAACCAGTAAGTTTGAGGTGGTTTGACCTGAGTCAAAGATGTTTTGATATTCAGAAATGCAACAGGGGGTGCTATCAGATACTTTATAGGCTCCTTTCTATTTTTTTTTTTTTTAAAAAGCTATAAAAAATTGTTCAAAGCAAGGAACAGAAATTCTCTTTTGGCTAAAGTGGTTGACTTAGACATACTTTGGCTAGAGGCCCATCAGCCTCGTGCGTTTTGATCTGCGTAACCATGGCATTTAGCTGTAAATATAGAATAATTGAATTGCAGAGTTTTCAAACTAGAAGGGACCTCAGAAATCATCTAGTCCAGTGGTTTTCAAACTTGATTTTAGCAGCAGATTTCTTCCTTTAAAATGAACCTTAGGCGGAACCCCAATTTGTACAATAGATAATAATAAGTGGGTTCCTCTGGCCCTTTAAATCTTGATTGTTTGGGGGAAAAGTTCTTCATTGCTTGCAAAATCCCTCAGGTGGCACAGTTTGAAAACCACTGATCTAGTCCAACCCTTTCATTTTACAGATGAGCAAACTGAGGTCCAGAGAGGTTAAGTGGCTTGCCCAAGGTCACACAGCTAGTCATGGAAGAGCCAGGACTAGATCTCAGGTCTCTTGATTCCCAGTCCAGTGCTCTTTCCACTACACCACACTGCTGGTAAGGTAGGTGCTGTGTTAGCATTATGTTCATAGCTACTAATAGTCTCGGTATTTTCCAATTGATTTATATTGGTAATTGGCATTGAATGTTGAAGTCTATTTTTCAGAAATGTGTAGGCTCTGAAGATACAGGTTAGAATTACATAGATATACTCTTAGAAGATAAATCAATATCTAGAATGTTTCCTTTCACTTTAACAATTATTTTAAAGCAAGGCATTTAGGTAATGTCTGAGTTATATTGAACATTTTAGTCTGATCCCAATGATCAATATGTATGGAGTCAGTATGTTTTAGAGCAGGCCTACTTTGATGGGAGGGAGGAGTATTGGGACTTCTGGTCACCATCTATGCTGGGACCAGGCCCTGCTGTCATTCCCACATTGGTCAGAAGTGCACATCTTAGGCATTTAGTGAGAGTGTATTTATTTCACATTAAATTCTGCAGAGTTCTCCCTGGTTCTTTGTGTCTCATACCTTCTGTCTCTATTATCCTTTTTTTTTTTAAAAAAAAAAAAGATTTATTTATTTATACATACAAGAACTCGGGTACAGGCCAAAGGTGGGAGGGGGCGGTTGAGAGGATTCACCAGAGACAGAGTGGAGAGCAGGCAGATTGAGTGAAATACACTGTTGAGGGGAGCAGCAGCAAGTCAGGAGAGGTCTGCTGCACCATGTGGGTAACTCCCTGGCTGGGGATTGAACTCCTGCTACAGTGGCTGCAGATAGCTGCATAGATTGTGTCTTAACCTGTTGCATCTTAACCTCTTGTGCCCCCAGGGAGGCCCTCTATTTATCCTTCTTAATCTGGTGTGTATGCTTTGTCACTGGGCTCCTCCCTAAAGGGAGGTAAAGGGTGGTTCCTGTTGTCCCTGATGATCTCTGTTCTCAATTTCCAGATAGTTTCCTCCATATTATCAGACAAAAGCTGTCCTAGATGTTAGGAAAGGAGGAAACTTGTTTTAAGGGCCTCTGTTATTGTTTACAGTCTAAAAGTAAAAAGACATGTGGAAATCTGCAGCTGCTGTGATTTATTAGAATTCTTATGGGGAATATTTCCCAAGAATCTAGGTCTGGGACAGATGACTGCTCTGTGAGAAGAGCTAGCTAGTAAGTGAAAAATTAGTTTGAGATCTGCGATTCTAGTCAATCAAAGCTGGATGTGTTTTGTTTCTGTCTTACTGAGTATATTGAGTTAAAAAAGAGATATTCAGCGGCAATGATGTCCTTAGCTCTACTTCTGTTTGATAATAATAGCAGCAGTGATTCCATCTTAGAGGCTATTCCTTCTGAAAGTCAAGTTCAGGGTTCTGTGTATTAAGGTGTGCTCCTTTTGCCTTACAATCCACTGACCCCAGACTGGTCACACAAATTCTCTGGACATGCTGTTTCCTCAACTTTAAAACAAGGGCATTCACCTAGATACTTCATCTGTTCCCTGGCTAATTATGAATGATTAGTTATCTCAGGGACTCGCGGTAAAGCCAAACATTGCATTGCTTTATTTTATTAGTTGAGTTTGATTAGCACTTTTTTTTTCATTTGATGTTTTTGTTTTTGTTTTTTTAATTTATTTTTGCATAGAAGAATTGGGATGTAGGCCAGAGGTGCAGGTGGTGAGAGTATTCACCGGAGTCAGAGTAGGGAGCAGAACAGGTGTATTTATTGAAATACACTGCTGAGGGGAGCAGTGGGCAAGACAGGAGATGTCTGTTGCACCATGTGGGTTAGCTCTTTGGCCAGGGATTGAACTCAGGCTCTAACAAAGATTGCGCTGAGACTTACCCTGTAGGCCATCAGGGAGTCCCCTGATCAGCACTTCTAATAGAACTTTCCAGAATGGTGGCAATGTTCTATGTCTGTCCAGGATTTCAGCCACTAGCCACATATGGCAGTTGAACACCTGAAATATGGCCACTGTTACTAAAGAACTTAATTTTAAACTTTATTTTATTTTGGTTTTTGCAGCCACCTGTGGCTCCAGTATCAGGTGTTCTCTGACTTGGAAAATGCCAGGTCAAGTAAATGGAATAGCTACACCTTGAGAATTCATCAAGAGAATGATGCTGTTCCTCCTTGATGAACCTTCACTAAGTACAATCTCAGGGTAATTTGTTAGAAATTAAGTACTCTGTTTTGAACGGAAGGTAATGTACAGAGGGAGATTAGGTCTTCTCCATTGGTGACCCAACTACATGGCTTCAACTGAAAAGAGATTTGCTGATTTGAGAAGTGAAACATTTTCTCCTCTGTGCAGTCTTGTGATCACTTAGCCTTATATGAGTTTCAGTGAATTCCCATGGGTCTTCTGGGAAGCTGAGTTTAGAATGTTTCTGGCCACTAAAGGAATATTCTGTTTATGTTACAAGTTCAAATGTGAGTGTGTGAACTATCATGGTTTCTGAGTACATTATGAAACAAACTCTTTTTCTTCCCCCCGCCAGAACCAAAGAAAATGGCTTTGACAGAGAGCCTTTGCACTCAGAACATCCAAGCAAGCGACCATGCACTATTAGCCCAGGCCAGCGGTACAGTCCAAATAACGGCTTATCCTACCAGCCCAATGGCCTGCCTCACCCTACCCCACCTCCACCTCAGCATTACCGTTTGGATGATATGGCCATTGCCCACCACTACAGGGACTCCTATCGACACCCCAGCCACAGGGACCTCAGGGACAGAAACAGACCTATGGGTAAGACTGAAGGATCTCTTCACTTCTTGTGGGATTGAATGCTTAAAAGCCTCGCATCATTACTTCTCAGCTGAACTTGAGGCTTGAAGTCAGTGATGGGGAAACATTCTCTTTATATTGTCTCCTTTATCAGGAAACCTGGTTAGTATTAATATGTTATTTAACGATTGACCCTTACATTCTTGACACCAGGTTAAATTTTTCTGGGGAGGGGGGTTGGAGGGGGGGGTGACTTCTAAATTAATATAAAACCCTGAATGGTATTAACAAATGCAGAGTGAAATTTTTGTTTAATTTGTTTTAGCACAAGACATTTCTTGTGCAGTCTGCCTGCCACAAACACTTTTTTTTTTAATTGTTTTTCTTTCACTGTGTCTTATTTCAGATAGTCTCTAAATTCATTTTGATTTTTCCAGCCTCCATGATAGTTTGTATTTAAAAAATATGATGTCATGATATGTGTGGCTTAATTCAACAGATGTTCTTTGAGGTACTTTTTTGTGTACTTTTTTAAAACCAGAAAGTGCCAGTATTTCAATTTAATGTTGACAATGTTGTCTTCAAAAATCAATGCCAAAGAAGGAATGGCTTTGGGGTAAATATGTCTGTGCCCATTCCTTCCGCATAAAACATTCAGAAGGGAAGCATTTAGGAGATAGTACCTTCTACAGGACAGGTCCATCATGAAAAATGAGAAAAATGATGAATAAGGTAAGTTTTGGTACAAGATCAGCAGTTGAGGTGGTGGTATCAGAGCACTGTACTGGGGGCACCTTTCATTTCTTAATTTTTGGTGTGTCAAGCTGTTTATAAATTGAGAGCAGCAGAAAATCCACTCCTCATAGCCCATCCCCTAAGCCCATGTGACACCCTTCACCTGCAGTGGGTTGTTGACACTTTCCTGATGTGGGGGATTTGGCAAAAGGATAGCATAAATAATGAAGTGCAAGTGGAAGACCCAAGCAGAGCGGAGGATGCAGGCCTCAGAACAGCGGCAACCAGTTGTCTGAGGCTCGAACCGCAGGGGCATTATTTTTTAGCCACAGGCTGAGATAGCAGGATGAGCAGAAGTTATATATTAGATTTCTAACCCGATGAAGTCTGTTTTTTGCCTTTTATCCACACCCTCTGGCTTGGAAGCCAGAAAGAGTGGTTTAGGGTGAGGGTGTGGGGCATATGAAGGCCCTGCCTGTGAGATGATAAAGTAGGTCAGCTTCCTCACAATAGTCGTGTCTACATCTGTTGACTGTGTAGGACAAATGGTTAGCCATAAGATTTGTGTTTTCTTAATAGTCAGTCTGTCTAGTGTGCTCAGTTCCCATTTCGGAAGAGCTCACAAAAGTGTTTTTTCTCAGTCGGGATTGATATTTTGACCCCCAAATCATATGTAATAACACCCACGTCTCAGCAAAATCCTTGCCATTTACTTATGTATGACTCAGTGCCCCCAAACCATGATTGTTTATTTTCAGATACAAGTGGAGTACCAGATCATTGTAAGATCAATTCAAGGTACTTTTTTGTGTAGGTGTTAGGAAATGGCCAGTGTCTTAGGCAGTAAATGCTATTTTGTGAATTATTAGTTCCATTAATATTCCATACCACACTAAAAGTAAACAGCAAGGAAGTAACTACACTTATTTACAATGATTATATTTTCATCTAGTAATGTATAATATCCCTTTATGAATTATAACTGTACCTACTGGTTTTATGTGATTTCTTTTCAGACCATGTTCCTTACCTTTTAATTATACTAGCTTATAAAACTAATAGTGCTAATCTCTATAAATATGTACCACTACTTAACCATCCCTAAAGTCTGGCAGGGTTTAGTGTGTGTTAATGTAAAATCAAGTCTTGATGTGTGAGTAACAAATTGTGCTGTTGCATCAGGCTGCCATTTGAGAATATAAAAGTTGTCATAAAGGTATACTGAGTCTGGTATGATTTATCAATGCTTATTAGATGTAGAGACATATACTTACTAGAATCCTTTAATAAAATAACTTTACAAGCAGCATTAGTTTATAAGTAAACTTAGAGTTTTTGCCTATTTTGCAACCAGTTTAAGACTCAACATTAATGTCAAATCTCCCACAAATGAAAATGTGCTTTAATAATTATGAGCTCTTTTCCCCCTAGTGCATCCCTCTGGTCTAATGACTATAAATAAAAAATTGTGTGGTTATGAATGCTTAAGTGTATGAAGTAGAGAATTAATAAATGTAAAAAAATTGAGTGTGGGTTTTTTTTTTTCTTTTTAAAGATTTGTTTATACCTAACAACCTCCAGAGTTAAAAAGCAGCAAATGTCCTACTTTTCTTTTTCACCAAGAAGTTGGGCTCAAAATGTTTCTAATGTACTTTTTTTAAATGAGGCAAAGCTTAGCACTGTTCTGTAGGTTCTGGAATACCACTAGCCACAGGCATCCTGTTGCTAATTAATGTTATTCCAGGTATCAAAGCTTGAAACATTATAGAGTTAATCTGCTGAATTTTTGAAATCTTTGAGACCTCTGGGGTTCATTCTTTGTCCCTAAAGGCAAATAGCAAAATACCTCCATCATGAAAGTCATTGCCACATTTTTATCTTCATTACTCTGGTTATTTTCTGTGATGACTCACTGAAATGGTAGAGCTTTTCCCCTAAAACACAGGCAACAAATAAGTCAACAAAAATTACATATTTGCAAACATTTCAATTTGAAATAGTCACAACAAGCAGCAATAACTAAATATGACTTTTCCCCAGTGTCTTTTCTAGTATGCAAATTATTAAAACATTTGCAATTTTACTTTGTTACCAATAGGTGGCATTGACAATGTTAACTTTTAAAATGTTACCTTAGAATATGTTCTAATTGGACAGGAAGGATGCAGATGTTTTATATTTATCTTTTAACTTAATCTAAGAAAAAGCTGTCATAAATTGTATTCACGTCCATCAGTTATAAGCTAAATCTCATTTCTGGGTTGGCTGAAAAGAGTCATGTGACTCATGCTTATTTCTGCAAATGAACTGAAAAGGTTTTCTAATCACTCAGACGGTACAGAAAGTGGAACTCAGTGCCCCTTAATGCTTATCATCAATTAACTCTTGCATAATACCCTCAGAGTAGGAGCATGAGTATCTACTCAGAAGCCCAAACCATGCCAGACTTTTTTCTATGTAGAGTAACAATGAGAATTGGCAACCCAAAAAGAATAGTTTTAATCATTTAAAATGGAAAATAGTGTCATAGCCCAATGTCTTCCTTTACAATAGAACAGAAGACATTTCATTCATAATAGATTTGTAAGAGGAGCGACTAATCTCTGGCTCTCTCTGTTCAGAGCTTCCTGCCCTGTCCTCTCATTGAGGCACATTCCCCATTTTGATTATTTCCCATTGGATGCACTTTTAATTGATGTTCATTGGTAAGCTTGGTGAGCATGTACCACTGTTTCATGGTGGTATTTCAGCTGTGATATGAAAGAACGTTAATACATAAGTTAAGCACTCCAAACTGGGATTTTGAGTTTCAAGGCATGAATTTATATATTTGTCCCAAATTAGATCTGGGATAGTGGATTTTTTTTTTTTTCCATAGATGATGCCCAGTCTATATTTTTTGGTAAATTTGAATCAGTGTATGTACCTTTTATGCTCTCCAAGTTCTCTCCATGATCTAATTTAATAATGGATATATGTGTGTGATAAGATTGTGTTCATTTATACGATGCTGAAATGTGGAAAACTGCATGCTTGTTTCATTAGAAAAACATATCCCTGCTCATGTAAAACAGTTTGTGTTGTCTTTATTTTTAATGCAGGAAAGCCATACTTTGAAACCACCTAATGTCTCCTTGTGGTTTCTTGTATTTATTAAAGAGCTTGGATATATTTATTTGTTCACTTTGGAACATTATATGTATAACTATCTCTGAGGATGGTGTCACTTGACTCCCTGTTTCCTCACTGTGTAAAAGGAAAGTTGTAACCAGATAACCTCAAAAATTCCTTCTAGTTCTAACATTGTTATTCTGTGAGCAGCCCATTAGGTAACTCTGAATCTGAGTATGACTCATGTCTCCATTCAAAGTTGAATATATTTTCACAGTGTTTAGTTTGTCTACTTCATCTTTACTAAGTGCCTGTGTGCAGAGGGATTGTGTACTGGATGCTTTAGGGTGATTTGAGACTTGTTCTTTACGTTTATAGGGTTGCATGGCACACGTCAAGAAGAGATGATTGATCACAGACTAACAGACAGAGAATGGGCAGAGGAATGGAAACATCTTGACCATGTAAGACATTTAGGTTCAAAGTGTTTTGAAAAGAGCTGGAGAAAGATTTTGTGATAAAATAAAAATGTGGTGATACTTGTTTCCTCCTATTCTTGAGGGGAAAAATGAGGAAAATGTTTGAAGTAGAATACACAGTTTGTTTTCTACATTGTTATCTAAGCCATGTAAATACAAGAAATGTTTAGGTCATGGAAAAAGAGTCCTGAAAGCCAGATCGATGGGCTGCTATTTTGTTGCAAAATGCTCATTTTGGATTTACAGCGATGGAATTAGTATTTGGAAGATGCTTTTCCTGGCTGTGGGTCTTAAGCTGACCCATGTCTGCACCTTCCACTTTGTTTTCATTCCATTGGGTATACTCATCTATTGGATCTCAATTTCAAATCTAATCTTCCAATAGACTGAAACCTCCAGGAATGAAATACCCTCCTTCATTGTCCTAGGATAATTTCAGTGTCCACCAAAGTCTTTAAGTTGTGGCGATTGACTTGTTCTTCCTTCCTCCTCCTCTGTTTCTCACCTAGCTGTTAAACTGCATAATGGACATGGTAGAAAAAACAAGGCGATCTCTCACTGTCCTAAGGCGATGTCAGGAAGCGGACCGAGAGGAATTGAATTACTGGATCCGGCGGTACAGCGATGCCGAGGACTTAAAAAAGGGCGGCAGCGGTAGCAGCAGCCACTCCAGGCAGCAGAGTCCTGTCAACCCAGACCCAGTTGCATTAGGTACCTTTTCTTCAAATGGGCATATTGAACAGTTATTTTTGTCTGTTATTAACACTGATTTTATTTTCAGCTGTCTTTTCAAAAACAAGATGTGCAGGGAGTTTCAGAAAAGTAAACTCTTGATTTATCATCTTCAGAAAGGCTTTGTGATAGGTTGAAACATAGGTGATCATAAAACTTGAACTCCTTTTTCAGTTTATTGTTTAAGCTCCTGGAAAACCTTCAAAGCTGAATTTCAGATGCATCACCAAAGTGTGTATTTTTCCCTACTATATACTTCTTTGGACCCTGCCTTTAACTTGCCCCCCCAAAAAAAATCTGAGGGCAGGGCCTGGGGTATCTGTATTTCTGGCAGCCTCTCTGGGAAATTTTATGCTGCCACTCACCAGGGCCGGAGAGCACTGCACACAGGGGTGTGTGTTGTGTGATTGTTAAGCAAGACACGACCTCTATGACAGTCTTGTAGCTGTGTGTTACTTTTTTTTGTGTGTGGGGGGGGGGCCCTTGCCTGCAGCCAGGGAACTAACTGGCGCTGCAGAGGCTGCGGGCAGCCTCGCAGCCCAGCGTTCAACCGCTATTATTAAAATGTTACTTTTAATAACATTTTACCTCCAAATCCCTCCAGGAGGAGAAACCTAAAGGCTAAATAGTTTACCCACTGCCACTTGAAAATAGTGATAAAGATGTTTTTCTCTTCTTATGCTTTGGCCTGAAACCTGAACTTACATTGCTTAATCTATGGGGCTGTTAATATAGTTGTGTTTTAGCAATTGGGTGCTAATAGTTAGCCACATTTATATTTAGTGTTGGTATTTGGAAATGGCTGGAGTTTTAATAGAATATAATCCCCAATATATGGAAAGAAATCTTAGAGGGGGAAGAATTTTTGTGTTGTCTGCAAACTTTTTCCTAAAGGAAGAATAGGGTATCTACTATTTTGCTGATATTTGCAAGTAGATTCCATCTGAGTAAACTTAGTAGCTATGGATTTGTTTTGATCCCTGTTATCTCATCCTGTTTTCATAAGTGTTTAGCTCACACCAGTTAAGCTTACTTAGGTGGAGGTATAGTCTGTGCTGTAAAACAAAACTAAGTATCCGTGGCTGATTATCAGAAATTAAAAACTTGAGAGTATATTATGGCTATTGATTGTATTATATTTTTTCTTTTTAATCAAAATTGTTCCTAGCCAATAAAGTTTTCTTTGCTGTTAGATTTGTCAATTCCTGCCTATCCCTAAATGCTGACTGCCTGTAACTATAATAAGTATTGAGTGAAGGAAGATTCCAAGACACTTAATTTTCCTCACACGCATAATTTTAAAGCATATTTTAAAGCAAAAAGTGTATTTGTCACATTATATTAAGGCTAACAATGAAAATCGGTTTATATTTAATTTATACCAACATTAGTCCAAATGGACCTATTTATAGCAGAGTAGAATAAACAACTTGTTTTTTTTTTTTTTAAAATTTCCTTATCGTGATTAAAACTTGGTTGTTGATGTCAGAACTGTTTGGGAAAAAGAAAGAGATATTTGTAACCATCCATCCACTGTAGGCAAAAATTGACAGCTTTATGTAAGTCAAACTTTGGGTATAAAAATATATAGTTTAGGGCCTCCCGTGGTGGCGCAGTGGTTGAGCGCTGCACTGTGAAGCTGTTCGCAGCCTCTGCAGCGCCAGTTTGATCCCCAGCTGCCGGGCGAGGGTCCCACTTGGCGTGACAGACCTCTCCTGCTGCACCCACTGCTCCCCTCAGCAGTGTATTTCTTCAGTCTGCCTGTTCTGTTCCCTTCTCTGGCTCTGGTGAATTCTCTCACCCTCCCGCGCTTCTGACTGTACCCAGTGCTTGTATAAATAAATAAATAAATCTTTTTGAAAAAATACACAGTTCAGACAATTCTATTGAACAGGTTAATACCTGTTCAAGTACAAGTCAATACTGTTTAATGAGTGCTTACTATGTGCTGTTAGACACTGTAACAAGGGAAAACAGTTTCTTTGTTCTTTCCCCTCAGGAACTTTTGATCTAGTTGAGGAAATAGGCAAGGAGACCCCTGTAGTGTGGTGATGATGGTCACATGAATTCAGTCCTCTGGACAGACAGAATTAGTATTACTTGCTGTCCATTTTAAAAGGGAAAATGTCATAAATTGATAGGACTCCATACCTAGGGGAGTTATTTTTAACACAGATCATAGGACCTCTCTGTGTCTAACCACTGTGCCATCTGGGTTCTGGTGACGCTGACCTATATTCTTCTCCAGGAAGATAGGTTTAGTTGCCCTGCTCTGTACTCAAAAGAATAAGCTTCATTTAAAAACCCAGTCTTAGGTATGAGGACATTAATGATACTGTTAATAATGCTTGGTGATTTCAAATTTTTGGTAAAAATGAGAAGGTAATTTGTCTTTAAGTTTTTGTGCATTATATTACTCAAAGGCTACCAGCGTTTCTTCATTTAGCTTGTTAAATCAGCCAGAGACACTGACCTGTTACAGTGCCTATTAAGGAACTAACCACAACTCAAGGGGGAACCGGTCAAGAGCCACACAATATGCAAGTTCTAGCATCAGCAGCTATTTTACTGTTTGTCTTTAGCTGGATTCTTGAAGCCTTGAGTTTTGTGGGGCTGGACTGCAGCTGTAAGAGAACAGGTAGTTTGTAATCATGAGCCACAGCCATTTACATTAATGCTTTCTACAATGTTCTCTCCCTGGGTTTTGGAAATGAATGGATTGTTGTGTGTGGAATTGGAGATTTGGGGCTGGTAAATCTATTTAGTCTCTTTGGAAAGTGTGTAGTGTGGGCCTGTGTGTGTTGAGATTGCACTCTGTATTTTTCTGTATATCTATGTATATAGATTCCACACCACTATGTTATATGTATTTCTTCCAGCTTGATCCTCTCAGTCCCTAAGCTCCTGTTGGGTCTCAAATGTGACCTTTGGAGTAGTATTATAGAAGCTTTATTTAACTTAAAATATTGTCCTGCTTACATCTTTAGCTTGGAAACACTGGACATATTGGCCTTATACACATTCTTAGCATTTTTAAATTGTACTTGCACAGAAGAGAATGTAACTTCCATGACTGATGTGTTATTCTGTTAAATTCAATCCCAATCTCACTTTTGAAATATGCCCATAGTATTAACTCACTTTTGTGGGATTAGTAAGATAAGGTGATTAATCTGTTACTAATTGAATTTTGGAGCTTTCCCCAGCTATTAAATACTCTGTATTGAATAGCCTCTCAAACAGTTTTTAAAATGAGTACAAAAAATGAGTACATAAAAATGAGCCCATAATATTATTTCCATCCTTTAAGTGAAAAAAAAAAAGTCTGATGTCTTCATTCAAATGCTCTATCCCTGAGCTCTGCCCCCTCCCACACATACTTTTAGATGTACATTTTATCTTTTATTGATTTTTTTTAAGGTAACATTGATTTATAACATTAGGAGTTGATATCTTGAAGGACTTTTCAAAATAATAGTTTTTTTCTTAAAATAATAGATTTTCATTATTACTCATCTGCTTTCCAGGGAAAATGCCAAATACTCAGCTCACATTTTTTGTTAAGCTAACTTTTTAAGCAACTCTGTTTTCAAAGTATGACTTTTTCTATACATATATAAATTTTGGATCATGGTATACTTCACTGAAGAACAACTTATGTCATCAGAATTGAGTGATTCCAACACTGAAGTAGAATCACTTGTAGATAGGTAGTTGCTGGTTAGCTTTACGTTCTAAGTATTTATCTGGGTCCTCTTACTCTTTTCCTTTTGTCATCTTGTCTTTTTCTCTTGCTGTACTATTCATATCACTCTCTTAAGTTGCAATACTATCTTTTTATTACCATGGATAGGTCTAGAATCTTTCTACAGTGCAGCTTGTATTTGTGAGAGAGTTAAAGAAAATATGCTGGATCTAAGACTAATGTCAGAAACTGAGGCATGAAACTCTGAAATATAAATACATTTTCCTGTTTTCCTTTTCTGTGTTAGAATATGATAAAGCGTTAAGAAATCTAGAAATTACCTTCATGTATGTTTTGGTAAAGGATTAGTTCCTGCCAAAAAGAGACATGTCAGATGAGGTTTTATGTTTGTTTCAAAAATCAAATTGATTGTTCATAAAAGGTTTCAAAAATTGTTGGATTAATAATCTCTCCTCACCCCTAGTAGTTCCGACAGGTAAGTTTTATGATTGCCTTGTGACTGAATTGTAGCAGTTCTCATCAATGTAGAAATCCTCAGGAAATTCAGCATGAAGCGTTGAAAGTACAGGTTCTGAGCAGGCTGGATTTGAATTTGTGGTTTCTTTCCTTACTAGTTTCATAAAGCTTTGGCAAGTAATCCTGTGTGTCTCAGTTTCCTCATCTGTAAATGGCATGGTAATAATATTTGCTAGGTGTTTCTGTGCTAAATAAATTAATAGGTATAAAGCATATGGAACAGTGCCTGACACATAGTAGATGTGCCCGAAATAGTAACTATTATTGTTATTATTTCTAACATGCAATCTCAAAAGGAACTTTTAAAAATAGTGGTACATGAATCTAGTGTTTTTGCTTGGCTCTCAAGAATTATGAATTCTGAAATTATATAGGTTCTTGGGTGTTTTTCCTTTCAGAAAGTGTTTTTAAATAGTAATTTTTAGGTAGTTACTTTAATAGGCAGAGAAGCTAGAAAGGGGGAATTCTGTCTTAAATATAGTAAATCTGTTGTACCTCTGGGACAGTTATTTATCATACAAATTTGTACTAAAACAGTTTGCTTCCGAACGAAGAATATATTATTCAGCTTACACTGCCAGATTATACAGCAGTAAGTCACTCAGGATATATCTGTACATCAGAGTTTAGAATTTTATGCACTTCTGATGATTCCTCTACATCACATCATAGAATTCATTTCAAGACCATTCAGCTTAGCTCCTAATTTGAAGTACCTACAATATTGAAAAGTCTAATGTAGTTCATTATATTGGGTTTAAAAAAGATATGACTATTAATTAAATATGTTCATCTTTTTTTAAAAAAAGAAGAAATTATATCCTGGAGCATTAGGTGTTTTTGTTACAACTGGAAACCCTAGAGCAGTTGATTGCTTCTGGGTTGGTTTTGAACTTCTGAAACATGTTGAGATTTTATGTATTATCCTTCAAAGCAAAAATAGGTAGCATTTGTAGAGCTGAACTCACTTAACCCTTCCTTTTTCTTGATGGTAGATTTTGTCATGATCACAGCCTCATTCTGCCCACTACAGGATGAAGGCCATACCTAGGTGCTGCCAAGCTTTGAGCATTGCTGTCCTGGGTCATATGTGGTCACACTTGTTCAGCACAGGCTATCAGCTCATCCCTTCATGTATATTGATGGCAGCCCTTGCTGTATCCAGTAATCTTGTCTCTGTATCTAGTGTAGTGCATCTTCCATCTCATCTTACATCATAGATTGCTATTTCTGTTCTTTCACATTCTTGTTACATTCCCCTCACTTTTTGCCTTGACTACCTCTCTTCATGTTACCTTCTGGAGGCTCCCCTTCTCTTTGTCTCCTCTTGCAGTCCAGCCCCCCACCCCTGTGCCCCTCAGCAATTTACTTTCCCAAATAAACAAAATTTAATTTAGAAGGATTTTTTGCATAGTTTGCCATAGCTGCCTTAAGCATTTCATATTTTGAACTATCTCCTTCAGGCACTAATGTCTTTTTCTATCCATTTTAGAACAATTGATATTTTATGTGGACAAGATTCAATGGTTAAAAATTAGCTTCTTTCGAAGCTGAGCCTTAAGAGGCCCTCCCTGGTGGCCTAGAGCTTAAGTCTCTGCTCTCTGTCTGCTGTGGCCTACTGCGGTGACCTGAGTTCCATCCCCAGCCAGGGAGCTGCTAACCCATATGGCGCAGCAGACCTCAACTTTCCTGCCCACCGCTTCCCTCAGCAGTGTATTTTGGTGAATTCACCTGCTCTGCTCCCACTCTGTCTCTGATGAAGCCTCCCCACTCCACACACACCCCACTTGCACCTCTGGCCTACACCCCAGTTCTTCTACACAAAAATAAATAAATAAAAATCTTAAAAAAAATAAACTGAGCCTTAGAAAATTTGTGTTTTGCATAGGATTATCTAGATGATCCAGTATTCTAAACAAGAAAGACCTAAAGAGAAGTTCTCTCTCGTATTATTGATAAAGTTCAGGATTTTTTTTTTTTTTCATTTTTTAAAACTCAGTTTGCTATTGACTTTGCTGCTACTTAATCAGAAGAGAAGATTTATGTTAAATCATTTGGCTTTCTGCAGCTACTATAGTATTTATCCGTGTATCAAAATGGCTTTCTGAAGAGTACATTACCTGTCACTCCATCTTTTACATTTTAAATCTGATGGCTACCCAGGACACAGTGACTTAGAACTGGGGAGGGTTTGTGTATGTGTATTTCACAAAAATATTGCTTTTAGATTCTGCTGGTATTCAGAAAAACAATTTCTTTTAAAACTAGGGTAGGGCTTAAAAACACTGTTTTGCTTGATTGGCTTTGGTACTTTCATTGGCTTTCTAGATCAAGTGAAGTTTGAGTTTTTCTCAAAAGACACTTTGCTAGTGTCTTTGAGAACTTGAGGGAGAGGTTTCCAAGAAGGTAAAATACTAAAAACAGCTTTCCAGGGTGGTGTATGAGCCCTGATAGCTCCACTGTACAGCACATGGAAAGGTGAGCCCTGTGCGTTATCTTTGAGTAAATTGGCAAGTTATTAACATTCATGAGGCCAAATAAAATTTATGAAACCATCATCTAAGAAATTTAAGGAATTGCTAAGAACTCAGACAGTGAATCACTCAATAGAGAAATAACTTCTATTCCCAAGTGACATACAGTTAAAAAGTGCTGCTGAATATCGTTGATCCAAGCCTCCTGCAGGATTTTATTTTCTTTATTGTTCTATGTGGATTTAACTGCTGGGGGGGAAAAAGACACTTTATGGTGCTCTTTTTACCTTAGTTATTTCTAAGGAAATAAGCATGTCCATTCTTTCCAGTCAACATGCTAAATAATAATGAAAGATAATAATGAGGTAATAACAACTAATGGCAGACATAATAGTAAGTACCTCGCTCATTGCTCACAGTAGGACTCTCAAATGTACTAGTATTGTTCCCACTGCACAGATGAAGTGTGTGACTGAGACATGGAGAAAACTAACTTGCCTAATGTCACGTGGCTAGTAGATGACAAAGCCAATATTCAACTTCACTGGGCACTAGAACTGACTCTGGGGCTTTGAATTGCTAATTAGCATCTTTCGTGCATGAACTTTGAGTAACTTAGCATATCAGACTGGATTGAATTTCTTTGTCCTTCGCTATACTATTAGGTAAAGTATTGTTTAAAAAAAAATCAGTTTGCTTGATGTTTCTTACGCTCATGGATAGCAAGTTTGAGATACTCAGAATTTAACATGGATCAAACGATGGTAATATTTACAAAATTAAAGTGATTTCTCACTCCAAACTTCTAAATCATAGGCCTTTATTGAATCCTAATTGGAAGACATGTAATGCATACTTTAGCTGTCAAGGCATATATATACTTAATACATTTATTTTTAATCAGGTGTAAATTATAAAAGGTTTCATGTCATTTCCATGAGCATGTAATTGTGGAGCTTAGCATTTCTTGGTCAATTTTATTAATGTGCTTTTTTTCAAAGTTTTAAAATTTGATAAAATTTGATAAGCATGATAAGCAGCATAGGATTTTATTTGAGGCAAAACTTAATTTCTGAAAAGTGTGTGCAAATTCTATTTGGTGAATCCATTTTAATGATTCTTTCCTGCTTCCATCCATGTCAAATCCATATGATCTAATTTGTATGAAAAATTTTTGATGCTCAGTGAGATTTTTAAGAAGTAATTAAGTGTGAGAACTGGTTAGCTATGGAGTAAGACTCATTGTTGAAAAGTGGTGGAAATATCTGTGTGAAAATTACATTATCCTAGCATTTGATGTTCAAACTACCAATTTGACTCTTGAAAGGAAATTTACCAAATACGGTTTATGTTCTTTAACAAAATAAAATATGCCATAGAAATTCCACTAGTGAAGGGGTGCTGGAAACAGTGCTCCAAATATCATATTGTGTAATAAAAGCAATAAAGTGGCTTTGGCTTTAAACACAAAGCATTTAGGACAACGACCTTCTGTTTTCCTTGAGCTTTGATGATTGGCTTTGCTATTTTTGTTTATTTTCTATAAGAGAAATGCTCAGCCTTTTAGAATTATAGTTCTGTAGAGAAGCCAAGAGAATGGGCATTTGCTTACTTCCATTCTGGGTAATGACACAACAGTACTTATGGTACGTTTCCCCCTCTCTCCACCCACTCCTTATCCTTTTCATAGATGCGCATCGGGAATTCCTTCACAGGCCTGCTTCTGGATATGTGCCAGAGGAGATCTGGAAGAAAGCTGGTAAGAATTGTTTAAAAACATGAGTTTAGTGTTCTGGCAGCTGTGTGCAGTTGTTAATGCAATGATGTGAAGCATGACAAGAAAGGACTTTACTGCTAACAACAACAACTAAAATCGAACAAAACACAACAAAAAGCCCCCCACAAAACCAAGTTTTAAAATCCTGATTAATATTCTTAAGCCAGGCCCGATTAGAACATGAAATAGTTTTTATTTTAGTGGCATTTGATAGCATAAATTGAAAGTCTGACAACATTTCCATTATAAACCCCTATTTATGAAGACAAGAATGGCTTCAGAATGAACTTGGCATATAAGGGCTCAACTTTCATGTAATTTTTCTTTATGAAAAAGAAACTTGATATAGTTATCAATTAAATTGCATTCTTAACCCTTTCCTATGAATTCCTTAAACACTCACATGAAATCTAGCTGATGTGACTTCTTGTGGCACTCAGAAATGTAAAACTCAAAAATGTCATTACAGCCAATATTTAACATCAATCCTTTGGGACCTCCAGGGTGGCACAAGGTGTTAAGTCTCAGTACTATGAAGCTATCCACAGCCACTGCAGCACAAGTTCCATTCCTGCCCAGGGAGCTGAGGCCAGGGAGCCGAGCTGACCCACATGTGGCAGCAGACCTCTCCTGTCTCACACACTGCTCCCCTCAGCAGTGTATTTCAGTCAGTCTGCCTGTTCTGTTCCCCACTCTGTCTCTGGTGAATCCTCTCACCGCCTCTGCCCCAAACTCCGCCTCCCATCTCTGGGCTGTATTCCAGTTCTTGTATGCATAAATAAATAAATATTTAAGAAAAAAAAAAACACAATCATTTGTGCTAATTCATATTAAATGAGCAGAGCTAAATTAGTTTTTAAGTTAAATGACAAAATTGCTGTACTTTTATTTTTGTTTCCCTATATAATAGACATTACATTTTGCAGTAGATTTTAAGTGCCCAATGACTCATTGACCTATCAGTCTTAAAGAAGTTCAGATCTTGGTAAAACTTTAGCACTCTAATTGTTGAGGCAAAGCTGTATAAGAATTAGCCCAGGAGATAAAACATAAACTTGTTTCAAGACCCAAAAATGATGTGACAAGCACATACTGTGATACTGAGTTGCTCTAATTCCAACTGTCTCAATAGTTGGAGTTGAGAACCATGCTATTCCTGCACCAGGAGCAAGAGTTAAGGGGAAGGTTTTTCATTTTAAAATGAAAGTATTTCTCAGCCATATCTAGTTCTGTCCACCTTGTTGAGGCTCTAACCAACTTGCTAACTCTGGTCACTTGGCTCTTATCCAGGTGTTTTTATAGATTTAAAAAAAATACCTATTTTTATAAAAATGTTGAGTTTCAAAAACCTGGTAGTATTCTAGGCTTACTAGGTTATATTAAGGCCCTAGAAGCTCTCATGCTTGTCCAATATGCCAATCAGGTAGATCCATTTGGCTTGAAGGCTAAATATATATGTTGCTTAGCTTTATAGTCTTACTAGATTTACAGTATCAACTCTAAGATTTTTCTAGGTGGTAAATTGCCATGGGCTACTACTATGCTTTTAAGATGTGCTGGTTGCCACCTTTCAGGAAGGAAAAAAATTGTTACATCTTCCTTCAGACTATTTTTCTCTTTCCTTTTAAAACTGTCAGTGCAACTTATTGCAATATGAGGTATAAGGAATTGCCGTTTTGGACAGCAGAAGAGAAAGTCTTTGCTTTTCCCTATTTCTGTGTATTTAAGTTAAACCCTTGATAGTTCACAAAGAAAAATTGACAGGAAAGTCTTGAGTAATCCAAATTTCTTCTGTGCCATTATCTGCTCAAGTCTTTGTTGGACAGCTATTAAGTGAGAGCAGATTTTTCTGAATATACCACCTTTGTTGGAAAGTCAACTTGAATAGCTATGCACAAAGGAGGTTCTACCATAAGTGGTAAGCAATTGGAAGCAGCTTCAAAACTGCACTATGCATTTTCCACTTAGTTTTTTTTTTTTTTTAAGTTGACATATTGTAATCTGTTGAATACACTATTTTTCTTTTTCTTCACTGTTTTGTGGGTTTTTGAAACCAGTTCTGAGTGGACTTTAGAAGGTAGCGAGAATAATCATGTTTTTATTGTGGCCATGTATACTCTGAGACTGGTCAGACCTAACATTATCAAGTAAATGATTGGAGTATTTTTACACATGCTTATCTACATTTGGTCTTCTATCTAGAATAAGACTTGGTAGTGGTCGATTGTATTTATATTCTCATAGTGGTATCCCTAATGTTCTGCATGAAAAGTTTTCCATGGATGGACACTAAATTTTAAGGAGTATTTTATACTACAGATGACAGTTTCATCTGGAAATCTCAAAGCTGCTTATAAAATTTATCTTTGTAGGCTTCTTTAAAACCATTTCTAGGTGCGATAAGAACATCAAGGGCAGACATCTACACTCAGGCTTGACACAGTTTGAAAATCTTTCCCCCCAGATTCTACAATTTGCTAAAGGCAAAATTTTTTTTTTTTTTTTAAGGAGAAAACCTATAACATTCCTGCAATGATTTTGTATGTTACTTTTGTGGGGGAAAAAATGAGTAAATAAAGTTAAAAGTATTTGAAAATATCAAAAGGGTAGAACTCTGAAAATTGTTTTTTCAGAGAAATTAAAAGTACAAAAAGTATATCATGCTTCACAGTACACTATATAACATCTGATACCATTTTATTTTGAAATGATTTCAAACTTGCAGAAATTTTGCAAAAAAAATTATTAAAAATTCTGTAAAAACTTTCATCCACTTTTCCCGATTTTGCCTTAACACATTTTCACTTCTCCTTTCTTCTTCCCTCCCTTTCTTTCTGTTATTTTTTTCTCCAGACATTTGAGAGTAAGTTGCAGAGGTGATTTTCTTTTACCCTAAATATTGTAATGTTTATTCTCTTATCTATCAATGCAGTGCAGTTACCAAAATCAGTACAATAGCATTGATAACACTATTATTTAATCCTGAGACTTTGAAAAAATTTTGCATGTTGTCCTAATATACAATATAATAATATGACAACATACCTTTTAAAATTTTTGAAATCATAACAAATGGTAAAGGGTACATGAGTGGTCCCCTAAAAGTAGTATTTTCAAAAGCAACAGGAAAGGTAACAAAACACACTGTAAATTTACAAAAGGTCTTTATAAAATTGGTGGAAAATCTAATATAAAGATGGATTTTAAATTGCAACTGAATGATTTCTTCAGTATATTTCTTTTTCAAATGATCAGTGAATGTTTGCAGTTGGTAATAAATATTCAAGCACCTTGCAAATGTCCTACCAATTCTCTTTGCTGATCTGTATATGCCTGTGGGATTAGAATAGGAATGCATAATTTAAATATAAATTGCCTGATTTGCATATACAATTAGTCAAGCTACAGCTTTGATCGTAAGCAAAAATTATTGTCCTGTATTACCACTTAGATAGAATTTTAATTCACCTTGAATATTCAAACTAAATTAGACCCTGGCTGTATAGTTAGAAGGACAGTACCTCCCTGGTGCCCTGAGTTGCTTATGATAGGGTAATAAAGGCATCTTTTCACCCTGTGGTGAAGGAGTTGCTGTAAGCTCTGTGCAATGTTCTATCTAGATTTTAAGTGCATATCTTAAAGCAACTAACGTAGGCTTAGCATATTTTAGTTAATATTTCCAGTATGAATCCTTCTCTTATATTTTAACGTATACAGCCTGGTAGACAGTAATTGCAAATCAATAAACTTTAACAGAAATAATGCTGTTAAAATGACAGGAGGCCACAAAGTCATGACAGCTAATTACTAGTGGAGGGTTTTTGATAGGCCTATATAGATGTGTGAAATAAACCACAGAAATTTAAAGAAACCATAGAAGTACTTGCATCTCTTACATTTTTAATCTACAGTAAAACATTTTTATTAGGAATCTGTGTTTTTAATTAAACAGAACATTTAATTAAGGTGCTTTTTAAGTGGGTGAAACAATTAAGTGCAAACACTTGAATGAAACATGTCATAATTAGTTTTAATAGAGTGTTAATTGGTACTAGGTTTGCCAAGTTAATAATTACTGCTTATTAAATTTTCAATTAATCATTGTCATTTTGCTTTGAATAAAGATGAAAATTAGATAAACTAATTCAGGGGGAGGATATTTTTCCCCTTGTTAATTAGAACAGTTAATTTTAAAAATGGAAATTACTTGTTTTAGTTGTCAATCTTATGTTGTACATTAGTCAAATCTTTACACCCTTCCCACAGCCAAAAGTAAGGAGCTAATTTGACACCTTGCAGGTTTACAGTCAAGCTTGATGGTTCTGGTCTGTGGTGTGATCCAGTTGTATTTGTTTATTGCAACAGTTGGTTTTAAGAAATGTATTTAAGAATGGTGAATATATTAAAATGGTGAAAAACTTCAAATTTAGAAATGAGAAAATGATTTTTTAAAAAAGATCCCTATCGTTTAATCTATGAAGCGCGCAACCACGTTACTCAGAAATAACATAAGAAAAAGAAAACCAAGATTGTCTGTTTTCATCGATTTTCTTTAAAAGGTCTACATGAAATAAGTTGCTATATGAATTGCATTTTTTTACTAATATGCAGTATTTTTGACCAGTGGAATAATTGCACTTATATATATATATATATAGTATGTATGACATCAACTGCCTCTCGTTCTAAAGACTGTAACATGTACTTCCTTCCTTAATATTAACCGGTAGCATTGTGAGAAACCACCTTCTCAATGTGGTTGAATCATCCAGACCAGTTTCTTACGATTGTTTTTGATCATAACTCCTTAGTGTGGTCGCAAACTCATTTATGGATGTATACTTGTTTGCTAGAAAAGTTGTAGTTAGTGATGCAACATTGAAAGAAAGAAAAAAAAATCTCACTGGTTCCCTAAGGGAATTTCAGAAATCTGCTGATATTTTAGGGAGTCACAGGGATGAGTGACCCTGTTCTGTAGATTTCTATCTAATAGCGATCCATTTCCAAGGTCGGCGCTAACAGAAATGTTCTCTTGTCTGATCCGGCTGCCCCCGCGCAGAGGAGGCGGTCAACGAGGTGAAGCGCCAGGCCATGACCGAGCTGCAAAAGGCCGTGTCAGAGGCCGAGCGTAAAGCCCACGACATGATCACGACGGAGCGTGCCAAGATGGAGCGCACGGTCGCTGAGGCCAAGCGGCAGGCGGCAGAGGACGCGCTCGCTGTCATCAATCAGCAGGAGGATTCGAGCGAGGTGAGGCCTTGGCCGCGCTTTCAGTGAAGAAGACAGTTTCCACTCTGTAGAATGTTCTGGGGTTGAATCCAAGAGCTCACAAGGGAAGGTGATATTGGACATAGACACAAATCTTTGGGTGGGATAGGAATTAGAATAATTTGAGGGGTTTTGGTACATCTGAAATTGAGAGCTGATTAAAAGTCTGCTGCTGATTAAAGACCTGAAAGAATAACTCTGCCAAAAAAGGATTTTCGTATATTTTCTGGGTAACAGATTAAAGGGAAGTCCTCCTAGCTTCCTCACACCCAAACTCAAAACCCAAGCTGTGTGTACGTGCATTTGTTAGCTTATGTGTGCGGTTTCCTTGAAACAGAAGGGATTTTATAGGGAGACTCTAGGTTAAGTGGTGCTGTCCAAAGACATTTCATGCCTGGGGTGAAAGTCCCTTCCCTAAGTCCAAAGCTGAAACAATGCTTGCATCAATTAAACTTTTCCAAGAGCCTTCTACAGTCTGTTTTTCCACATTATTTGTAATAACCCTTGTGATGGTTATTTTCATAGCATGTTGCTGCCAGAAGTAATATTACTTAATAGTATTCTAGTGTGTTACAGCATACCCACACACACACAGGGAGAGACAGAGAGGTACACACATCCCAAATGACTCAAGGAGGTGGGAAGTTACTAATACACAACATATAACAGAACACTTTTTAATATAGATCCTGCAACATGTTAATGCTCTGCATTAATTAATATAGCACCACAATCCCCCATTCCCAAAGTAACTTTACATAAAGAACCACAGTCAGCTACTCACACCAAGCTGACCTAGCAAAAGCATGAACTGATAAATCAATGGACCACTACAATCCATATCTATAATTTGTGAGGGAGAGTAAGAATTTAATTTGTACCAGGCTGCTCTGTAGATGAAAGGCCCTGCGGGAATCACTCGATGCCCAGAGTTTCTGTTTAATGTGTAGCAGATGAATAACAAGGGGACAAAAGGAATTGATTTTCAACATTTGAAAGTTTCTCAGGAAAAGAGGGACAAAGGGAAGTTTATCTACCCTTTAACTGCTGACTTTTCCATTGTCGAATTAAGCTAGATATAAATTCAATTTTATTGGCATCTTGTGACTACGATATTTAAGGACTTTGTTTTGTGTTTTTTAAAATTTTATTAGCATCTTTTATAGAGAATTTGTCCTGCTCTATTCAAGTAGTACTGTGAGGCACAATTGTTGCCATCATTAAAACATTATCACTTTCACATCAACATTTTAGGACTGTTGATGTATGTTAAGAGTATTTTGTAGGTCACTGAATTCCAGAGAGAGATGTCTAGGAAGAAATTGAGAATTAAGTCTTTGTGTTTGGCCTGTGGTCGCTGTATTCTTTTAGTATCTAAGAGCTTTGTGCTTTTATTCCTAAAACTCTCTGGAAAAACACATCATCTTGACACTAGTATATAGCATTTAAAAATACAGTGTATCAAAGGGTAGCTATGACAAATAGTAGACAAGATGAAATAACCTTGATATGAGTAATATTCTTTACTAATCATTCTTCATTTCTTTCTTGAACTCCTGGAAACTGATCTTGACCATATAGCACTTTGCCCTGAAAACTAACAAATAGAAAGGTTTGGAAATTCAGAGGACCAAATTTAAATCCTGGCTCCCTCTCTTACAGTTCTATGATTTTGAGAAAGCCACTACATCTCTAGATGCTTTGGCTGAAACCCCAAGACTTGATAATTTTATTATGTTACAGGTGAGAAAACTCATTTGGCTACCGTTATCCAGCCTAGGAAATGACAGATTCTAAACTGGAACTCATGGCATGCTGTGTGTCCTTTGAAGCCAGTATATTATTTTTCTTCTCCCTGCTCTTTTCTCACTTAGAAATGTGCACTATTTAATAGAAACAAGGTGATAAAAGCCACCTCAACAAAGATGCTTGTAAGTCACCTCAAGTCTAGAAAGTTCTCTATGCCCCTCCAGGAAAGAACCAGAAGCATCCTCACACAGTTGGGGAATCTGTTAGGTCAGGAATGTTTGACCTCGCAGATCTAAAAAGAAAGGGTGCAGGTACTGCACAGAATTCTCTTAAGTTTTTTTTACATTCAAGGCGCTGTCTCTTGAATATATCCATTCAGCTCCAATAAGGCCCTCAAACATTGTGTTTTGGAAATTTTATGAACTGTTTTGTTTTCTTAGAAAGAATAGGAAGTCTCACCGTCATAGTAAGGGTTGACTCAAACATTTATTTCCATTAAATATAGGAGACATTGATTTTACAAGTATATTCAGAAATTAATGGGTGTCTTTTAAAAAATCATGTTTGTGACCTGCCCTGGGCAGTTTGTCATTTGATACTTACAACTCTTAATCACCTCCATTCATTTACTCATTCTTTCAATAACAGGTGATTGAGCTGTTATTCCACATCAGGGACAGTGCTAGGTGTTGGCTGATGGTACAACGGTCCCTGCTGTCAGGTTGAATACAATTCACTAGAGGAGTCAATCACTAAATTGAGTCCTGTTAGAGGCTAGTGTGAAGGCTTCTGATGTAATACTTAAAAATAATCAGAAACTGTCCAGCGGCAGTCCTCCAACCACCCCGACTCCCACTGCCTTGCCACTGCTTCCCCAGGCTGTGGGCATGATAAGATGGAGAGAGACTTTGCAGGCTTCTACAGCAGGATGGCTGTACGGATCGTGTTTTGGCAGGATCTCTGAGGCTACTTTGTGAAAAGAGGTGAGAGGAAATGAAAAAGAGAGATCAGTCTGTTTCAGGAGATGTGACAAGGAGATGTTTGGATGAAGGTATTAGGTAGTGGCACTGGGGGGTAGAGAAAATTAGATGTGGTGGCTGGTACCTGTGAGGTAGGTAGAATGAGCACGATGTGGTGATTGATGGTAGCTGTCACAGAAAAAGAGGGTTTTGTGGTTTCTCAGTGGACATGCAGGGTTCAGAATGTAAGCATCAGGCGCTCCTTATTGAACCTTTAAAATCCTACTGGCTTTGCTCTGCCTAAGGTGTGTAAGTGGGTAGTAGAGGAGGTTTACCTGGGTTTATTAACTCAAAGAGTTTAAGTATTTGGCTTGGTTCTAAAGCTACTGGGGATGTAATTGCAAATGAAACCCAAGTCATTCTGACTGTGAAGGCATTTGGAACAGGAAATCATAGCCATTACACCCCAGGATACCTTGTCTTTGATGCTTGCAACTTCCTAGTCCAGCAGGTCCTGAGAAAGATCTGAAAGTGACAAAATGTAGCATTTTGGAAAGGGTATTTTGCTTCAGTCTAAAGACCCAGATGAGTCAAATGCTGGCTATGTCATTTTATGTCTGTGAGACTTAGTCATTTACTGCAAAAGTTATTTACTCTTGGGGCCTCATTTTTCTAAGCTTCAAAATGAACAAAAGTGGATTCAAACTGTCAATTGCAGTGCAAATACATGATAGTGTGATCTTCGTGTGAATTTAAGGTAATGTGTTTACTTCTAACTGTAGAGCTCTTTACATTTGGGAAATTTGAATTATAATCATTCTACTTAATTTACTTGTATCTAAGGGTTTTTCTGGAGAATCATGAATGCAAGACTTGCAGAATCTTAAAGTGCAATGGAAGAAAATGTTTTGTTTCTTGAAAAAGGACTTTCTAACCTAAGAACCAAAAATTACTTCTTTTGCTCGTAGGACAGAAAGATCATTTTCTATGTATCTAATAAGAAGAAGATAATTGGAGAATAATTTTGTTTGTAGGAATAAAGAGAATTATTGATATTAAAAAATGTGTCAGCGATCTTTAACATGCAACTTTGGCAGTCAAAAGCTTCACTGTCATTTCCGTTTCTGCCTGTAGTGTTAGTACATTTAGCGAAGGGGAGGGTTGTATTCTACCTCAGAGTCTTCATCTGCATCACAGCCTAATTGTGGTCAGTGGGCTGATTCCAACTTTTCAAATTTCAGAGAAAATATTCTTTAGGCTGAGAAGAGAATGATACCACAAATAAGGGAAGCCCAAAAAGTGCCATGAACTTCTGTGATGAAATTTGCCATGAAATGGCATTCTGGAACCTGCTACATGATGTGGTCATTCAGTCACCAGCTTTATTCCTTAGAGGACTAAAAGCAAGCTGCGTTAAATGAAAAAGGAAGGAAAAGAAGGAAGGAAACACTATCAGAAAATACTATCCTGAATATGGAAAACACAAGTTGGTGGGGAAAAATGTAAAGTTTGAATGAGCCATTGACTGCCTCTATCCCTTCTCTATGGATATACCATGGGTATTGTATATAATTGGCAGTTTCCATCTTTATGTGAGTAACAGAAAGCTTAGAAAGGGAAAACAATCCAGTTAGAGTACTCACAGGATTCTGCACATCCCTCTGTTCCCACAAGGTGGCTGTGGAGGGGCTAAGTGCCCCCCTTGGCCAGGCATCAGTCTTGCAGGTATGGATTAAGCAGTAAGAAATACACTGGAGTCATGCAAGAGAAATGTATTAATAGAACTTGCTTGCTTTGTTTTCTAATGAGCTTTTAAAAAAGAGCATGCACTTTGGATTTATCTGTTAGCTGAACATTTGCGCTAAAGTTAACTACACGTTCATTTGCAATACAATATCAAAAGCAATAAAAAATATGTAGGGTTTTTCCCACCAACTCATTTGAATTGCTCTTTGTTGTACCTTCCTGCAGCTGAAGGTTGTTTTTGTCCCAAGTGGTGGGTGGTAAGTGAATGGGATCAAACAACTTCAGAATGGAAGTAGAGGTAAAACTAGCCAGAGCCCTTGAATCCTGGGTCAGAACCGGGTGATGCTAGGCAAGAAGGCTCAATTACCAGCAGCTTCACGATCCAAAACATCTGTTTCTGTATCTGGCATAATTCCACTTTTTTATTTGTAAAATTGTTCCCATCTTTCAAAACACTTTAAAAATAAAGAAGTCCCCATTCTGTCTCTTCTTTCCAACACATGCATTTGTAATTACCTGGTTTAGTCTGTGTGTTTAATCAGCTTAAATTGAGAATGTTGCCTGCATCTGATTTCAATCTGAAGGAACCATTGAGTACTGGGCAGTTACCACCCTTGTGTCTGCCAAATTGTGTCTGTGCCAGAAAAAGGATAGGACTCACACCAGGGTATTTCCTAAAGAAGCCACTTGACTCAGATTAGATGTTTAATTTCCTTAAAATATTGTTTTGGATCTGAGTCTGTGTTCTCTAATTGGGATTTTCTGATGTAATTTAGGAATATCGCTTATTTGCTGATTGTGTTCCAGGATCCAGCTGGCAGTACTGTAAATGCTTAAACCTCAAGGAAGTAGACTTGGTTCTGAGCGCCCACTGTTAGAGCATGTGACATTTGACCAGTCTTTGTGGAACCATACACATGCAATACCTTCAATTAATTTTGAGAGTAAAAGTTTAAAACTTGTTGAGAAGGTTTAAATGTTTCTGGTTATGGTAAAGAAGCCTCTGATCAGAGATAAACATCTTTTGAGATGTCTTCCTGTAAGTCAAACTGAAGTAGAAAAAATTATTCTGGTACTGATTATTCACTTTAATTCTAATTTTATCTATGACATTAAACTGTTAACCAAGTTTCTGGATTTTTCTCAACTTTGTACACATTAAACACTGCCCGTTGACCAGAATTGGAGATCTTGAGATCCCCCCCCCCGCCCCCGCCTCTTCTTTGGACTGTAATTTCTAAATGGTACAGAAATAGGTATTTTGAGTGGAGCTATTTCTAAAAGTTTTAAAGCAGTGTTCTTGAGTTTACAAACGTCCAGCACTTGGCTCTAGGAGCCACTTGTTAGCAAAGTTAAGATAACGGCTAAGTCTTTTGCGTAATTTGCACAGGGGTGGAATGCATCCAGCGGGACAGGCCGACTTGCCACTGGGTATTTTAAATAGACTCCTGAGCCCACTGTAAGTTGCACTGCCAGCCTGCTGAAAGCAAAACAAATGGCAGGGAACACCATGAGGGGATTTTTTTAAATCTACGTATTTATCAGGACTTTAAAAAAAAAAGAGTATTTTAAGTGTGACACAACCATACACTGTCAGCTGGTTGGAATTACCAGATACAGTCACAAGGAAATAATCAAAGCCATAGAAGATAAAGAGTAAAAAGATGAATGACACAGAGCTAAGTTCACAATGGAGGCATTGTCTTGCCAAAGGAACTACAAACACTGAAAGGTGTTTTCCTGAAGTTCCCTCCACCTGGGGGACCCTGAGGGATCCTCTTTATCAGTCTTTCCCCAGCATCTGTCCCATGTAGGTGCTCCTTCTCTAGTATGTGTGTGTATTTTGATTCACGATGTGTTTGTCTCAAAGTTTAAATCTCAAGTAACCCCATTTGGGCTTTCCTCATCTCTTGGAAACTACCTCATGAGATTGGCAGTGACTTTGCTAGGATCAAGAATTCTTAATTTGAACTAGTTTCCTCACTACCCAGAGTTGCCGAAGTGCAAATGAGCTACAGAGGCACTCTACCAGCTGGAAAGCATTGTGTGGAAAGAGACTCACCAATTGCCAAATTTTCCTATTTCTGGTTTTTTGAAGTCAAATTGAGTATCCTCTCATTCATTCTTTCATTTCACATATATTTATTGAGCACCTACTATATCCCAGGACTATTCCTGGGTGCTTAGATAATATCAGTAGATAAACAAGTCAAGGATCCTGGCCTACATGGAACTGAGGAAAAGGGGGCTTGTTGTGAGCTTGTCCTGCCATGTGTTAGGTACATGGAATACCTGACACCAGTGGGAAGAGAGGTTAAAGTGTCTCGTCTCACTCTAGTCTGTGATGGAGAGCAAAATGGAATCTTCTAGCTACTTCATTATATCTCTTTGAATCTAATACAGGGTTCTTGTAGTTCCTTGTGATTCCTATTAGTTCCTAATATGCTGTCTGTAGTGATATATTTCTGTCTGACCATGAGGGTATTGATATTAGGAGAAAAAAAAATTGAAAGATGTGAAAGATGACCATTTTAGTACAGAAAATTTAGATGTGAGGATAGCCAAACCTAAAAGGAAGGGACCTGACAGTAAAAACAGGAACTTCAACTACTGAATAGTTTAAGATACCTCCTAATCATTGGCAGAAAAGTTTGGGTCATCTCACCTCAACTGGAATCGTCTGTGAGCTTAGTATCTGCTTTCCCCCAGGGCCCCCCAGACAAGTTTTCATTCTTACTGTATCCTAGAAAATAAGGGGTCATTGCTGCCTAGCATATTTCAATGGACTTTTCCCACTGTATTAATTTGCATCTTGCTTTCTTCTGCCTTCTCCTTTAGAGCTGCTGGAATTGTGGCCGTAAAGCGAGTGAAACCTGCAGTGGCTGTAACACAGCCCGGTACTGTGGCTCATTTTGCCAGCACAAAGACTGGGAGAAGCACCACCACATCTGTGGACAGACCCTGCAGGCCCAGCAGCAGGGGGACACACCCGCAGTCAGCTCCTCCGTCACGCCCAACAGCGGGGCTGGGAGCCCGATGGACACACCACCAGCAGCCACCCCGAGGTCTACCACCCCGGGGACCCCTTCCACCATAGAGACAACCCCTCGTTAGACCTGAGCTCAGAACTGTCGGAGGAAAGACAACACAACCAACAAGAAACCAATTCCTCATCCTCAGATGCTCAAAGTTGTTTTTTGTTTGTTTGTTTATAGATGAACTATCCTATTTCAGTACTTCAACAAGAGAGAACCTAACTGTATCTTGAGGCGGTAGTAAAACAGTGGGCCAGTAACGGGTCGTAAT